ACAACTGTTTTGTTTCCAGGCATCTGTGTCATTTTCAAACAGTACACTTCTCCTGGCTGTGTTACAATCATTTACTATTCAAAATGAAAAACTGCATCTCTTCACATTCACATTTACACTTCATTATGTTTGTGTGCAGGCATCACATATGAGTTTATGGCACAAAACTCAAACATGAGTGACTGAATCAGGCAGCCAATTATCAATCTCTTTTGTCTCAAGGGTTACTGGGTAACATGATAATTAATGCAGGGATTTCATTTCATTCCATTTAAATCACAACAGAAACAATCTTAAATGTCACATTAACAAATTGTAACCAACTTCTAAAACAATACAATGCTAAATTAAAAAAAAACTATTCATAAGTTTCAGTCTTTCACAATACTGCCCTTTACATAATCTCAACTGTTACATACCTGTAACATCCTATGGTTATTAATAAGGAAAGGGACTCCTATACTTCTACACATGAAATTGTTCCTTGAACCATGTCCCTAAAGAGGTCAGTCTTTCAAAGATTAGTCTTTATATGATTCACTGAAATGAATATGTTCCTGAGCTTCATTTATCCCTCCTGTTTGGGGGACTTCATGGGCAGGAGGAATAAAAAAGAAAGATCACAGTTTTGTTCATGGACACATGAGGCCTGTTATTTTAATTAACACATTCCCTGGTCTCAGAAAGAAATCACAACAAGGCCTAGACAGCCATCTCTCACAAGAACCTGCTCTAATGCTTAGACTGGGTTTAATTTGTACTGATTGAAAAACAACTGATCCTAAATCTTTTATTGAAATTTCCTGCCAGCCAGAGTGGGATTTAAATGCCCAGTGCCAAGAAAAGGGTTAATATGTTAAAATTACTTATTGTGCATTCTGACCTGTCTCAGTGTTGTTATGATGACTAGAATAGTATTAAGCTGCCAACATCCTGTTGTTTGCCCGTGACATTTTTATACAAAGAACGTCAATTGTGTAAATACTGCATTTTTCATTTCATGATAGGACATATATTAAAATCACTTATGCTAATGTCTGATTCCTTATAGTAGTTTTCAACATCCATGTTTCAAGATAAACTGTGCCAATATCTTGACATACTTTATATACAGGCACACAAGATGCATTGCAGAGCACACAATGAGGCCCCAAAAGTTAAAGAATATTGCTTGCAGCTGTGATACATGTAGCAATTTGCACTGACAGTAAGACTTTTAATCATGTGCATCTAGCCAGAGTGTCAGAAGTATATATCAATATAATTATGTACATACATACATGTAAGCACATACACATGACCACGCATGCACGCAAAGAGAAGATGGATTCAGATAAGTAATTGAATCATTAGCCTTCAAGCTAAAAAAATGAAATCTGATTGTGCTGAAGCTACATTTATTTACACTGCACTGTGGTACTAAATACAGAATGTTCTGAGAGGAATGGTCAGTATTCTGGGAGGTCATAGTATCGGTCATTCTAAGCAATAAAGTGTGTATGCTCATGTGTCTCATTCCAAATGGTGTCTGAGATAGAACTATTTCACTGTACAGTTCCAAAATTGTTGATGAGAAAGGGATAATACTGTTGCGTTACATACCAAACACACCACAAGTTCAGAATTATTAAATTTATGAGTGCACTGAGCATTATCCTGCAAAATAAAGGTCGAAGCAAGATATGCAACGAATAATCAAAATGCTGGAAAAATTTGAGGCAAAAATGGAGGCCATCCGAGCAGAAACGAGAGCCAGTCAGGCAAAGACAGAAGCCATATGAGAAGAAATGGCCGCCATGCGGGAAAAGATGGAAATCAGCCACAAGGAGATGGTGGCCGAAATCGAACCCAGAAGAGACATAAAGACAATGGCCTCCCAAGAAACAATGGAGGCACGTCTTGAAAATGAGCCGACCTCAGTAGACAGGAAACCTGAGGTGGCACAAGAAGGAGATGTCCCTATAGAAGACGCCAAAGTAATGCTGGTCGAAAAACCGAAGAAGAAAAGGCATAGGGACCGAAACCAGCGAAAAACGAAGGAACGGCCCAAGGGCAAGGATGGGTGCAGAAAGAAATTGGCCGTCGCCCGCATAGAGGTGATATGGGAAAGTCGTGCAGCCCAAAAGAAACTGGCCATCACCAGCAGAGGAACGACCCACCATGTGAAAATGACACAGCAGAAGGAAAACGTCACTGGGAGAAACCGCACCAGGGCCATGATTGAACGAGCAACCCAGAGAGTAGGGCCACTCAAGAAGAATTTACGAGTACACCATAAAGGAACAAAGGATTGACGTGGCAAGCAGCTACTACACGAGAGGAAGAACAGAACAACCATGGATGGCATCTGGAAGTGGAGCCCGGGAGAGCGAACACTTCTGGAAAGCAGAGGAACACTAAGGAAACTCTTATATGAGACCTACGGTCCAAAAAACAATAAACAAATGCCCAAGGCTTCTAGCAGGAAGCGGAGAATCGTGGATTGGACCTTGTGGAGGGATCGGCCCCCTACAAAACGGAAAAGAAAAGAGACTGCAAGCAGAGGAGGAACCAGTAATGTAGAAACACTGGCCTCTCCAGCATGAATGGAGAATGAGAGTGATGAGTGAATGTGACACATCAGATCGACGAACACTGGACCATGGAATTGCTCAGGACGAACAATCTTAAGAAGGGACCGGATGTAATGGCCAGAGAATGGTCACTGCAAGAGGAGTAGCTGAGCCAAAAGAAGACGCAGCAAGCACAGGCCTGAAAGAGAAGGAATGGGGATGCACTGTTAGGCTATTCGGGACGAACAGCCTTAAGGAGGGAGCAATGTGGCATATTGGCTCCTTGCAGGAACTGAAGCTGTTTGGAATAGATGTGTGTGTATGTGTCTCTCTCCCCCTCTCCCCCCCCTCTCTCTCTCTCACACACACACACACACACACTTTATTGCTAGGAATGACTGATACTATGACCTCCCAGAATACTGACCTTTCCTCCTGGGACACTCTTTATATGAGTTATATGAGTTTAAAGTTGTTTTAAAGTTTTTAAAACTTTAAAACAACTTTAAATTTTTCTATAACCAGAAAGGTTGCTGTGACTGATAGATGGAACATTGTGTACTTGGACATTACATGTGTATTTCATTGACAGCTGTTGTGATAGTGGTTTCACAAAAGTGTTTGGTGCCTCTGAATATGATCCAAATGGATCGAAACATGTAAGGCTAGTGAATCATCAAGTGAGATAACTGAAATAGTCACATTGGACGGACTTGTCTTTTATAATTGTAAAATAAATTGTAACTGAAATCAAACAGTAGAAAACAAGGACAAAACTCAAAATAAAAAATTGTTAAAAAATATATATATACACATATACACATAAACATTTCAATATCAGAGCAAAATTCTCACTTCCTCAATTAGATTTTGGCTTATTTGTACACAATGCCTTAACTGACAGAGTAACTAGATATCAGTATCACAGGAGATAAGTTTCAAACAAAACTGGATGCTAAAATTATGGTCTTCTAAGATGTCCCTGGGAGATAGGTACTGATGGTTTGGAAAAGAAAATTCCTCAGATATGTTGGTACCTATCTACCAGATTACGTCCCAGAAGACTGTAATCTCAATATTCATCATTTAGAGAACCTCAAATCTCAAAACTGGGTAAATGTATTAATTTTTTTTCCTCTAAGTACATTACTACCTTTGAACATTAAATTTTAAACTGAAGAAACTGTTGCCCCTTACAGTCATGTATGTGTAAGTATATAAAGCATGTCATGATTTTCAGTCCCTTGGCATTGAAAACTCTCTTCAAGTCTTATTGAAACATTAGAACAATAAGAAATCATATTTCTTCCCTGGGAAAAAATTATGGATAGACAAACTATAAAAGTATAAAACACATTTCTTAATCAATGATGTGGATTTAAGAGATGAGTAGACTACTCAAAAGATGGGAACCACTGCAACATATACAGTCTGTTCAATGCAGTTGCATCTCTTCTTCATGTGTCCAATAGAAATTCTTCACTTTCTAATGGAGGAAGCTACCACTTCCTTGTGCCAGGGCTTCAGTAAGACCACTGAAATGACACTTTGTACTGTTCATATATTACTGTATTTTTTGTGAACATGAACTGTGCATTTTAAGACATTTCATTATCTGAGGCTACCGTTTGTATGAGTCAGTCAGGTCATGTGTTACAATTTTGAAGAAAGAAAATCCAATAAGGAATTTCTTCATTAATTCTTACTCTCCATTTTGGGAAGCACAATAGACCACTGTAGGTCGTGGTGGAAGGGCCAATGATACATTCATTCATTCATTCATTCATTCATTCATTCATTCATTCATACTCTCAATTTTCTTCTGTCTGTCTCATGTCCACACTTACACAATACTTCCAACACTGATAATTACCAGTGTTTCATTAAGAACTATGGAGCAAGAACTGAAAGTTATGCAACTGCAAGCACATGTTTTCTAACTTTGTTTAACTACTTGACCCATCTAATGATGAATGATCCTTGTGATGAGCATTTTTTAAACATTTTCAAAAGAATAGGTAACTTACAAACTATTAATAAATTCAATTGCTCTGAATGTTAGTATAAGTCCATTATCACCTTAATTTCTCTGGTTCAAAATCTCACAGCTGACTGTGAAACATTAAGATTCAACGTGCCTTAATTACAGAACATTCTTGAATGTACCATCTCTGCATTTATGTTTGGAAATGACTAACAATAGTAAGATTCCAAAACAAGTAAAAAAGAATTACGCCAGCTCTGAATAAAACTTCCAGATGTGAAGCACACTTGTCATGAGTAATTACTATAGCTCACTACACAGTTCTTCTCTTAACATCTGATATTAGGCAAATTGAGTTACTGTTCACAAAAATGCAGTATTTCTCCTATGTGGCGTGTCTCTTAACAAGAATACTGTTAACTATGAAGAAGTTCTGCAGTCAGTTCACAACTAAGCAAACTCACCTGGAGGCTAGTATGGTCTAGATGCCTCCTTGGAACGTTTGAGCTGTACTTTGAGCCTCTTGGTGCCAATCTGGAACCCATTCATAGCTTGGATTGCTGCCTGTGCACTTACAGGGTTGTCATAGGACACAAAACCTAAACAAAATAATGAGCCTTTATGAAAATAATTCTTAACAGCAGCTATAAACTGCTTTAGAGAATAATATAAAAAATATCAGAAGTAACCAGACAAAATAATATGCTATAAGCATCATTCCAATCTTTGGGTTACATTTCTTCTATACGTTTTGAACAAATTCAGTGTCTAATGTTATTTAAACGTCCATCACTCCAAATGAAGAAGTTGAGCTCAATAAATTTTTATAAACTGAAGGCTCGCAGATAACCATCAATTTGTTGTTTAATGCCTAAATTTGTGCCCCTTACGTAACATAAAAATATTATTGTTCTATATCCGGAGGTTTATCACCAAATATGGATTCTTAGAACAAATAAACGGAATTGAATTTAAATTTCGATTTGGCCTTAGCAAATTATTCTTCTCACACTTGCCAATGTCAAATTTTTGCTTCATTATCTGCAATTTCAGGATACTATTCTTCTTAAATTATACATTCACAACATACAGCAAAATTGAATCAGTTTCAATGTTCAATATCATTTCAAATATTCCTTCTCTAGCAAATACAGGTGGCATCATTTATATCATAAGTGTAATTCAAAACATCAATACCTAAAAACTGTTCAACTATCAAACTAGAGAAATGATACATTTAAGAAAACTTCTAAAACATTCTGTTTTCTATAACTCACATTGGGAGAACTATATTTTAACACTGAGAGATGATCATCAGCTAGGAAGCACAACGTCTCTCTGGCATTTGAACATGAATGTTGAACACCAAAAATACAAAATTTTGTTTTGCACAAACCCCCTACAGGTGTCTACACCTCATAAAAGAACTCTGTCACATTTTGCAACCAAACTTGTTTAAACATTTCTTATATTTTCCCATGCCCATTTAATTTTTTGGCTTATTAACTTTGGTCACATTATGAAATAAGTGAGCAAAAACTGTCAAATTCACCTTTATGTAAATCTACTTGCCCTCCTAGCTTGCAATACTGACCAAAGCACTTGGACAGGTTGGTCTGTTTATCGATGAACACTTTGGCTGACACAACAGTGCCAAATGGCAGGAACGTTGATGCCAGATCGTTGTCACTGAACTCCTGAGGCAAGTGGTAGATAAACAGATTTGCACCCTCAGGCCCCTCTATCTGCTTGCCTGCTGGACCCCCAGAGCCTGAGGTGGAGTTAGTTAAACCTGCTGGACCTCCTCCCGCTGTGTGGCCCCCACCACCACCAAATGATGTAAAACCTGAAAAATACAAAATTTCACTTACTGTATCAGAAAGTTAATTTAAAAACAGCACAAAATGAGCAGAAATTCAATTAGGGTTCATGCTTTGGCAGCCAAATTAAGGCAATACTTACTTTATCACATATTGTGATAGTTGTTTATGACATAATTATTAGTGCAATGTTTTGTACTGAAAAATTTAATTGAAAATAATCTTCAAGTAATTACAGGACGTTTTTACACCACCTAATTTTCTAAGACAATGTCATTTTTCTGTAACACAAAACATTTTTGAAATGCAGTAATAAAGAAAAGTACTCACAATACTAAGAAAAAGAACTAAATGTGTTTACAAGTGCGCACTCTCTCTTTCATTCTTATATGCCTCTCAATCAGAATACTCCATCTATTTCCAACTAACTAATTTAAAGGACTTCATTACTTTTTCCATTATCTTTCCTTTCTACATAATCCTCCCATTTATTTTAAATAAACACCTTGACTCTTAAGTAGAGTACTATCTTCTGATATAATACTAGCTGTGTAGTCCATTGAAAAGTTAACCGATGTTTTGGAAGAACATATTGCCTCCATCTGCAGCTATGCTTACCACCTGCTTTCATGCTGGTACTTGCTTAGCTTACTCTTTGACCATGGAGATGGAGATGATATGTTCCTCCAAAATGGCTGCTGAATTTCAACGGTCTACATGGCATTATATCCCAGAAGACAGTAAGTACTGTTCATAACCAGCACCATGAGAATGTCAAATCCTACATCTCTGACTGCTGTTTGCAGCACCTTCATGTAATTTATTCCACACTGCTCTTGTGATGTTAATGTTCTGTATGTACATTCTGGTCATGTTAATTTATGCCTGTTAGAAATCATACACAAATACACTGATTGTCAGGTAAAGTGACTATATCAAAAGGATGCAAAGCACAGAACTACACAGTATACAAGTGATGTAACACCTGTTTAGCACATACATGTATCATGGACTTTGATATCCCATCCACCCTTCATGAATGCCAACAGTAAACAATGTAGATTCTAAACGGTTCTGATGATGGTGGATGACACACAGAATTACTGGGTTTTGGACTTTTTCCATCATCCGGAATTCTAGGTAATAGAGGACACTCTAGGTGTCCTAGACATTCTGTGAGTAAACTATGTACTGTCATCATCTACTGCACAATGCTATACTATTACCCTCCAGAACAACAATGACATTAGGATTCAAACATGTGAGTGCATATTGCTGAGACAGATAGAGATACAAGGGTCTGACATTGTGAAACCTTCCGATTGTAATGCTGTTAACAACAGCAGTACATTCTTGTAATACTGCACCACCATGCAAGGTCCATTTAAATTATTTTCCTCAAAACTCTCTAGTTTACATGCACAAAATCTGATGTAAATGTTCTTGTTCCTAGGAAGAGTCACTATGCTGAAACAACGATTTCATATTTAAACACTTTATTTTTACACACCCAACTTATACTAACTTGTGAAAACGGTGAAAGAAAGCACATGGTAAGAGTATCAATAACTGAGTGACCAACCATCAGACACACACTGACTGCTGACTGTTTTAACTCTTACCATGTGACAATTCTTGTTACAATGCCAACTACTGCAACAGCATCCACCCACCTTGTTTGAAATCTTGATATAATAATCACAAATTATCCCATGAACAAGTTATACGATCCATTCTGTTTCCTTCAGAAACAACTGCTCTGACAGTTCCCTCTTTATGCTTTCCCTTATGAACACTTTAAACCATCATGTGATATGTGCCACACAGCCATACCTGCATACTGCTGGATGCCTGAGTAAGGTGATGTAAGTGCATCAAGTCCAGTGCCATTGTGTGTGAGGCCTGTGGAGCCCAGCCCATTGATGGAAGAAATGGTATTGAGTGGGGACCCTGTTAGCCCACCCAGTGCCATGCTAGTCACAGGGCTCAATGAACTGCCCCCTGAAGCCTGGCCTGCTAGTGACCCTGCACAAACAAATGTCACATTATATCACATTCTTCCTTAGAGTATTATATTTCTTAGTCCCTTATATTGCAGTGAAAAAAATCAGATGCCCACCTAACCTCAGTGCTACTGACAAACCCTGATAACACACATTTTACTTTGGATTATGAGAATAAACTTCTATTACAAATATATTCTCTTTCCTCTCTTCCAATATAATATTTTTCCATGATTCTGTAATATTACAGGATCAGTACTGATGGCTGAATGCTTGTTTAGGGGGAACAAATCTGCAGTGCATAACTCCCTTAATACAAAAACAGCAGATTGGCAAGGCTTTTACATTTAACACTGACATCTGCACTTTCTCTAAGTCCTGATAATTCTTAACTTGTCCAGTTGAGGCCGGTATTTCATTTCTGGGTCATATTGTCCAGTTGAGGCCGGCTTTTCATTTCTGGGCCATATCAAACATCAAAATGCATCATCACATATCACTATGTCTTCCCCACTTCATCCACACCCCATCAAAAATAATTCAAATAAAAATTATACATATTGAAAAGAACTGAATTTTATGCATAATTATTATGTACAATGAGATATTTAAACAAAATTACTTACTGAACAAAGCACAGTTATGTACATATAGTGGGCAATGTGTCATTCATAGCATGAATCCCTGATGACAGAGAGAGTCTCAGAAACACATGGGATTTATTCCATATTAATGCAGCTGACTTTCCAAAAATACTTCACTGGACACATTCAAATTAAAAGGCTAGCAATTTGACCTCGTATTTTCACAAATGAGTAACGTCCCAAAGAGCTCAATCAGGACAGAATAAAAGGGCCAATGTGTATTTTGTGACCAAGGTTTATGACAATAAATTCTTGAGACTATTAAATGTAGCACTAACACATTTCCTTTTTTACTGTTCACCTAAAGAATTTCAATTTGTAACCATATAATAACTCTTTCACTATTTTGGCCAATTAAAAATAAATAACATACCAAATCAATGACATCTGCTGAGCCACTCACTGGGTGATGAAGTACTTGTTGTCTTGAATACAACAGGTTTAAATTACAATTATTGTAAACAAAATATGGAGGGTTCTGTGAGATCTTAATTATAATCAGGACTGCAGAAATAACACATAAATCTCCTAGCCACTTATACAAATCACCTCACCCACATGCTGTACTGTACATGCATCATTTATCTACCACCAACTCCATTAACTTGCCTGTAACAAGTGAGTGGGCACTGCCTGTAATAATCTAAATATGCAATATACAACAAAGCACCAAAATGTTGAAAAGCGAAATAATTCATAGGTTAAACAAATAAACACACACAAGCTGCAAAAACTACAGTTTGAAGCTTTAAAATTCACACAGTTCAAAATCATTGAAGTGATATGCAACTGGCACTTACCTGGGACAACATTCTTCTCCATTTCAAAGCATCAACAGATAATATATTAAATTACACTGAAAATACCACTGAAGTTCTAGCACCAATAACTGAATGTGACCGGCAAAGGGGATGCTAGCTAGACTGATAGAATCTGAAGAATGCGCCTAACATGTCTTCTACCCATACAAATGCTGTGGAAAGGGGGTGGGGGAGACAGAGGAAATGATTGGCAAAGAATGAGTATGCAGAATTATGGTGGTGATGATGATGATGATGATGATGATGATGATGATGATAAAGTACTCCTTCCAAGAGTTCTTGGGATGACACAGAGGTTTCTTAATTTTGAACAGAATGTTATAACTAGTAACAAGAAGCTGAGGGCTAGTTAGTATATCTTTCACTGTAACTAACCAAGCAATGTTCTTCAACAACATTCTTGAAAAGCTTATATTTTCTAAACTGGTCTTCTGAGACATCCTAACTGTGTTCACAAACGCCAACAGGTTCCGTCCTGAACCACTTAAATCAGTCCATAACTATAAAACACATTTTTCAAAGATCCCTTTCAATGTGATCCTCCAATCTGTGCCACCTTATATGGGGAAAAATTAATTTTTGTCAGGTTGGAGCATTTAATTTTTCGAACTGTATTAGGAAAAAGTTATCTGAATATATAGTCATTTGTAATGTATGAATGGAAATATATTATTGGGCATATTTTTATGCTTTTTGTAGAAATATGCAATTTTAACCAGCTTTGCTAACCAACTGTGATACTACTCTACTTTACACTGTGATTAGTTGGAAGACATTCAAAATATAGTAACATCCTTGTTAATCAATTTTTGGTGCAACTTATTTACAGCCATGCCTCACAACAGGAGAGTTGAAGAGTCAGTGGGTATATTTCTGTTTTATGCCTTTATATCAGAGTAAGCACTGTCACCATACACTCACTAGTTATGTGTCTTATAATCAGTCACTGTAGTATTATTCCTAATGTGAGTTTGAGTGACATACTTTCTCTCACAAGCTCAGAACTTTTGTAACAGTTCTTTCACTGACCACACAAATTCTGCCGAAAGTGGAATGAAGCACTCAGTCAAATACCATTTTGAAACAAGAACTATATTTCTGCATTCTCTACAACCCAGCGTTCCCACATCCCCTCTTCTGCATATTTGCATATATCATGAACATCTGAAAGCAGGGTGAAGTATAAATACTACATTGTGCCCCTCAATCAAAAGGTCAGTACTGACAAGAAAAGATGGGAAACCATAGGGGTAAGAACTGAAAATTTCCTTTCCTAAAATTTATCTCTATTTTAATTTAAAGTAATAAAAAATAGGACCGAGCCATGCAGATTTTGTCCATCAAAGAGAAGGCTTATCCCAGAGCAACCAGTCCATGTGGGGTGTGTGGTAGGTAAGATGGAACTTGCCCAGGTTTATTTCCAAGTACTTGGGTGTCAAATAGCAATCATCATTTCCTAATATTCCATATGCATCTAGCATCATGAATGTATAAGTGGCCCATCTGAAGCTACAGCAATAATGGGTTCAGTCTTAGCCCACTCATAAACAACAACAAAATGTGGAAATGCATTTATACTTACCCAGCCCTACATACACTAGTCTTGAGTTTATCCTGCCAGTCCACTTTATATATTAAAATAAAATATAAAATAACCATCCAAGAATATCCAATTTATTTCCTTGTTGTTCATCAAATACCATTTCATGACAGAAACATGTCTGGGATGCAACAGTATTGATCAGCAAAAAGGAAATAAATTAGATATACTTCAATGGCAATTTCATATTTTATTTTATTATACCTGGCAACTTTCTACTTGAACTAAATTAGTGGCATAAGACTTGTGCAACAAGTCAGACAATCAGTGTGAAGATGGAATTAGTATCCATGCGTCCTGTCTCTAACATCAGGAGTTGCTGTGATGGGTGATGCTGTTGCATGATGTATTTATACCGAGGGAGTGTTCCCTTGGAGCCCAGTGTCCTGTACCAGTGCAAACTACTTGGAGAACAGTGGGCAAAGTCAGTCAGCCAGCCAGCCAATGGAATGACCACACCCCACCCTTCCACTCATGTGTTTCCATCACTCATCACATGGATGAATACTAACTCAATCTTCACACAGCTGATAGCCTAATAAGACTTCACTGCATAGTCACCATGAAAGCTTGAAACCACAAGATTTGAAGTTTTCACAATAGTGAAGATTCGTGTTGAGGTCTTATGGGTCACAACACCGTGCAGGCTGGGAAGAACCTCACTACACATTACCATAACCAAGAAGACCACACAATATCAACTAGCAATCACAGACGACAAGAAGAAAAGTCTACAGTCTTCTACAACTAAAAATGAGCTTTAAGTCTGTACAGAAAAAAGAATGTGGTTGACACAGCACTGACTATCCCCTCACCTGTGTTACCAGCCTTCCCAAGCAGAGCTGGAGGGATTGCCAACACAACAAGCAGAAGACAGAAACAAAGAGACAGACAGATTTGATTAGAATACAGTTATATTACAGCAGGGTCCCTTGTACCAAAGAAGTGATTCTACAAATAAAAGAAATCTTCTTTGCTTTCAACGCACCTACAGTATAATATGTTATTTCCCATTCTTTCTCACTGCTTTAACAGGCAGTGGTAAATATATATGCCACCTTGTTTAAAGTTAGAGACTCAGCATTCTGTTTCAATTTCTCAGATTAACCAACAATAATTTTGCTGAATGTCATTAGCTGAACTAACTTCATGCAAAACATGTGGTGCATTTTCTGCAAAGTAGCAACCAAATCATTTACGCCCTTTATAGGGTTAAGAAAATAATGATAGGGAAATAATTAAAGACAGGGCCTAAATATGAGTATTTATGATAAAACTAAGCCTAATACCATGTGTGGATTGAAGTATGTGAGTAAAAAAAAGTAAAGCTATCCCTGTAACAGGCCGTGAAGGCCCATAGGGTTGTGAGACGTTAAGGGCCCCACATTACCTTGACAATCGGCTCAAAGATGGCGGTAAGGTTGTCAGCCTTACGCGCCGCCCACGCTTCACTCCCCAGGAAAATCATTTAATTAATTCCTGGTACTCATTTCTGTTAGAGGCTGAGTAAACCCCAGGGCCTAGTGTGGCCAGAAGGATTAGGCCAATTGAAAAAAAATCCAATGACCAATCCAAATTTTTAAAATCTGATAAAATTTTATTCTACTGTATTAAAGAAGTCTGAAATACCATTTTCTTTCACATGTAACATCACAATTCACAATGAAATAATATCACAAAATACCATCATGTATTTCGGAGGGTGTGCATGACTTATGGACTGGATGATTGGATTTACTGACACCTTATATATTCAACTCATTACTGTAAGTAATACGCCGCTATTGCTGACCTACACACTTTACAAATCACTAGGGCACGCTTAGTCTTCCCAGTCTTCACTAGTCATATCTTGGCAATAGATTTCAACAAAGCAGTTATTCTATTCTCACCCATGAAGTCTACTTTGCACGGCCTAATTTCTTTCCGTCATTATTCTGCCAACTTGCCAAAACTGAAGACTTGACTCAACGCTCCCGACAAAAACAGCCACGGATTTCAATTCTAATTCCTCTGCTCCCAAGCTCACATCCTGGCAGGCTGCCATCTCAAAAATCAAGTGACTCAAATGATCTTCTTTGCCCTGTTTATAACCCTTTAGCATGGACCACACAGAAAACACAGCCTCTCTATTGTTGAGAAGGCGTGTTTACAGAGCCACTGCATAGCAACAAGAGTTATTCAACTGTTGCTTGCATATTTGTTGCCATGGGAATGTGTTTACCGAGCAGTTGCCTAGCAAATGACGTCTCCTCTGATTTCACTATTCCATCTTTTGGGCGTCATATCACAATATGAAAAACAGGGATGGGTTCATTCACACAGTTCTGGGGACAGAACCGAAGGACTCTGTCTCTAACATTCGCCGTGCCATGAACTTAGGTATGAAGCTTTTGTATCTTGGAGACTGAGACTCAAAGAACATCTTCATCACTCTCATTCAAATCTTGTGTGGGAAATGTAGCTAGTAAGATATTTATTAGTTGCCACGTAAAGTAAATTTCTGAGGGAATACAAACAGCAGAGAGAAATTAACCCTGGTTTCTAAATTGCAGTCCACTGTTTCTTTTTTGCATTCTAGTAAATTCTGAATTCAGCAGTATTAACATGACAGTTGACAAACTGCTCCCAGAATCTCACTTACAGCACAATCCTGATTATCCATGTACCCTTTTAGGTGCACCAGTAACCCTGCAGTATGTCTATTAAGTTCACTCAGTCAGCTCATCCATCTATGATATGCAGGAAAAAACTTGAGACCCAGTGAATGACTTCCATGAAATTTGACACTGGAAAACTCTGTGAAATGTTGAGGCATCTCAATTTCCACTTATATCAGGCAATTTTAATAACATGCAGATCTACATGAGTTTTGGAAGGTATCTTGCATGTAACTCATTAAATATTTATTGAAGATAAAAATGTTTCAAACAAAAGTAACAGACCAGAATGAAGCCTACATTTTATGCATGTTTCTGAACTTGTATTTTGTAACATTTATCATGTTTCAGAACAGATGTCTGATTGACAGCAGCCACTTATGATCTGGATATTGGCCTGTGTAGCCCACCACCATTTCACTGCGTGCCACTGCATTAGTCTCTTCTTGTCTTGCTTCATCACTGTGACCACTGAACTAACTTGCCATCTCCATGTACACACTGCTTCACATGTGCACACATGTTTGCACTATGGCTGCCTCTGGCTCACCTGTACAGGTACACCCAGCTCAGCAGCTTCCACAGACTGCTCTGCTGAACTTGAGAATGACTGGGTTATGATGCAAATGATGATTCATTGGTTTTCTTGAAGAATAATAACAAGAAAGGAGGGGATATGGGGATTGTCGAACCTTTCAGAGAGAGGCGCATGCCAACCATCTGTGCCACTCCCTCCCCACTCCTCAGTCAGTCTAGCGACAATATTCAACAATTACCATGGTCTCCTGCACACATGTGTAACTTCGATTATCCACTTCTTTTTCATTATTCATGCACCATCTCCCTGTTATTAGGTGAATAATCAGGACTTCACTATATGTAACTATAACAACTTTAAACTTAACTCAGTGGTGTAATCCACTACAGAGGAAGAGCCAATGATAATATCTTCATTTTACTTTTCTCTATGAAAACCAGTTCAGTGACACATGGATGATACACAATGCATGACAATAACTTTCTGAATATGTGGAGACTTCTTCCATTATGAGTACACATTAAAGATTCTGAATCAGATACTATGTCTTACAAATCTTAATTATAGCCTACATGTGTTAAATCGATGCGCCTTGTGGGATAAATTATCAATAATTATTTTCTACAGCACTGAAACAAAAAAATGTATGCAACACAGTAATATTCAGGTTATGTCACAGAGGTGGATGCCAACAGATTAAATTAATTTTACTGACGACTCTCACTTTCATTCCTTCCCAACTTGTGGGAAAGGTAACGACTGAAAAAAAATGTTTTTACATGCTGGACTTTTCCAGACAGTCTTACTTTTTCAGTCATTTAACCCATTAATATACTATTTGATTGTGCCTGCGAATTCTATAAAATTAATCCATACATTTCAAACAAATGCCATAAAAGGATCACAAAAGTTGCATATAGGTATATAAACAACACTTTTTTTTTTCCAATAAGTAAACTATGTCCACTTTCTCCTGATGCTTGACACCCATCAAAGAATTTAATGTTCCAAAAATCGGTGGACAGATGTCCCATAGCCACCACCATATACTATTGGGATTCCAAATCCACGTAGTGTGGGAACTGAGTACAAACAAAAGTACAAAGTAACTCAGAGAATGCCGATGCAGTAAATCAGCAAATTTAAGAATGGTCACAGCGATGCTCATGGATATTCCCCAAGTTCAATGTTTCTTTCTTCTGCGTACCCTACATAAAGTCTACACTTAATTTAATTTAATTTTGTAAATCATGAGACTGAGACTTAGATTTTGAAACCTATATACCAAAATCTTATTTACTACTGTATGTGCCCATGGCAAAATCTTATCTGAGTATGTCTATGCTATGTACATGAAACTATGAACCACAAATGACTGCACTATATACAGAAAATGCTGCCTAATAAATGAATGTCTCATATACTCAACAACTCTTCACTAAATTAAAAACAATATGAAATGAACTAGCATTCATGTGACTCCTGGTCTTCTTCACAGTTTAAATTTTATAAGTGACTCAGTGAGTGACTCTCTGGTAACTCAAGTATAATTTTTGTTATAACAGCATTTGGGTTATTAATTTTTGTGGCATTTCACATCCACTCGACATTTCACCCTTAGATCCAATTCGGTACTATCATTTTACTCTTCTTCTGTCTTCCAAGTGGCCAAATTTCAAAGACATTTTCCCACCAAAATTCTCTACCTAGTTCTCATCCCTCCAATCTTAACTGGACGTCCATTTCATCTTAACAAACATCAGCGTGACAATACAAGTGACGTGTATCAGTTACAAAGTGCCTCAAGTGCACAATATTCTCCAATCTCCATAACTTCAAGGTTCTCATGTACATATATTTTCCACTGTATATTACAAAATTATGAAAGTGAGTCTTCTGTCATTAGTATTTTAAGACTTTAAGACATTTCAGGGCTTTTAAACTCACAGTACTGCAAAACTGGTTATTGTTTTAAAAAATGTACTGTTATATTTATACACGATAATCTCAAGTCAGAATCTGCTGTACTCTAGAACTATTCAGTATACACAGGAAGGGGAGTACATTGTAATGACAGCAAGATATGAATCTGTATTTTCCTTCACTGCATAAACATATATGAAAATAAAGCACAGCCTATTGTTTGTCAAGATATTTAAATTCACCTTATCCTCATGTTATCAGCTCACATAATTTAAATGCTTTTGAAAAGTATGTTCAGCATAGCAAAGGGTTCAAACATGCAACACAGCATGGTATTGGCTACATTGACAAGATCTGATTCTGGAGGAACTCCATTCACTGTTCAGAGAAAGTTCAAACTTTTATTGGGCAAATTCAAAAAACCCTAGATAATAAACAATTTGCTTTTGGTATATTTTTGGATCTGTCGAAAGCTTTTGACGTTATTAATCATAACTTGCTGCTTGCAAAGCTGGAGTTGTATGGACTGAGAGGAATAGCTCACGCGTGGATGAGATCGTATCTCACCGACAGAACCCAGTTTGTTGAAATTCACCATATGGATCAAAAGACCTTTAAGATAAAGACACTTACCTCATCTCTTAAGGCTATTAAACATGGTGTACCTCAGGGTTCTGTTTTAGGACCCCTTTTATTTTTATTATTCATAAATGATCTGCCCCGAATCATACAAAATGCAGAGGTAGTATTATTTGCGGATGATACTAATATATTAATTACTGGAAATGACATGTTATCATTAAATGAAAAAATTCAAAATGTAAAGAATCAATTAGAAAAATGGTTTTATGAAAATCATTTAATAATAAACACTGAAAAGTCTAAGGTAATTTTTTTTCGGGGAAGTAGATCTACTCCAATTATTAGATCCATTTTTTCTTTAAATAATAAGGAGGTAGTTTGTTCATCAGATGTAAAATTTCTGGGTATTTGTATTACTGAGGATTTAAGTTGGGCAACCCACACCCAATATGTTTGTAAAAAACTTAGCAAGACTCTTTATTTGATTAAATCTTTACGGGACTCTGTGAGCCAATCTGTATTAAGAAATGTGTATCTTGCAAAGTTTGAGTCCGTGTTGAAATACGGTATTATTTTTTGGGGTGGGGTGAAAAAGGACTCTGAAACTCTATTTAAACTACAGAAAAAATGTTTAAGGGTGGTTAAAGGTGTAAGAAATAGAGTCTCCTGTAGAAATTTGTTTCGAGAATTTAAGATTCTAACAGTTACTTCCTTATATATATTTGAGATTTTATGTTTTATAATAAAAAATAGGATATATACTACCCAGTATTCTGACGTACATGGCTATAATACTATTCATAAACACAATCTGTATGTTCAATTTTGCAATACTGAGCGCTGCAAAAGAGGGGTGATTGGTATGGGAACCAAAATATTTAATGGCCTACCGACTGAACTAAAAAGTGTAAATAATTTTAATGTTTTTAAAAAGAAGCTAAAAAATTATTTGTTGTGTAACGTCTTTTATTCTCTTCAGGAATTTTTTAACAACTGTTGATATGGACTGCTTGCTGACAAATAAATCTGTTTTAGATAAATTATTTATATGTACAGGAATATGTTTTAAATAGTCTGTTTGTATGTTGTAAACAATCTGTATATATGTTTTAAATATTTTCTCTAGTCTTAGGTATTTATTATTTATTATTCTATATTCATGTACTTTGAATGTTATGCTTGATGTAATGTTCTTGTTATCTGACATGTCCAATTGTAATTTCTACAGCTATGGATGAAATAAATGAATTGAATTGAATTGAATTGAAATTGAATTGAAGACAGGCAAGGATAAAGTTTTCTTGTGCCCATAAAACAAAGGTGTACAAGGTGAGTTCACATAACCTTTCACAAATTCTAGATCTTGGTACTAGATGGCAGAGTGTGGTCTCCTTCATGCTTCAGCTGTTTTATCACCATGGAAAAATCCTCAGATACCCACTGCATAAAAGGTTTCGTGGGCCACAAAGCAGTCCAAATATGGTGGAAAAGAGAAAAATCTTGCCTCTTATAAGAATCAAACCCCATTTGTCCATTTCATATCCAGTCACTTTACAGATTCGAGGCACTCCAAATACATAAAACACTTCAAATATTTCCAAAACCTTCATTACCATTTTTTTAATCTGTTGGCTTCCATCAACAGCAAGTAGAAGGCATAGGGAGATATGAAAATACATCTTAATCAAGCAATTCTTATAATTTAGTTTAAATCTAGTTTAAATCAACAAATTAACATAAATGTACAGGCAAAATAGTAAATTACTTCATTTAAAATTAGGGAAATAAAACAAAATTGTTAATGAGGAATTTCTGCTTAACAGATATTTGGAGAGGGCCACTGTATTGGTTATTTATGCAAACACACGTTATGAAATACCAACTTACTGTTCAAAGGTAAATGGAAAAGCAATACTATTAAGGCACATGATGATTTGGTGCAACCTGAATTTTCATTTTAGTCTCATTCATACAAGCATGAAGTGTAAAGTGACATACACAACAACAACGCTTTACCAACACTTCAGAAACTCGGGAGAAAATGTTTCAATCAAAACATATTTTTTCTGAAGAAAGTCGTCTTCTGGGATCTGGCGCCGTGTATTCTTGGTTTTAACCGACGTTTCGGAGGAACATATCGCCTCCATCTTCAGGGCAGTTGAATTGCGTTGTGAATACAGAGAGCAGAAGCTGCAATGATTGGGAAGTGAAAAGAGCTAGTGTATATATGAAGTAGGCGGGGGGGGTTTGGGAGAGGGGACCAGTGGGAAGAGTGAACAGCGATTAAGGCCATATATGGTCTGGGGGCGAAAGGGGGGGTACCGGCCAGTGAATCTAGGCAACTTGGAGGTCAATGGCACGGAGGTGGCGGTTAAACAAGAAGAACCGGTTGGCTGGGGACAGGCTATTGACGTCAATGACATGAACTGTGGACAAGCTACTGATGTCAATGACATGAAGAAGAACTGGTGTGTCTTTGTGGAGTTCTCTTGAGGGAAGAGATGAGAGGTTTCCATGATTTGTTGAGATAAAACCCTGTTTCCTTGTTCATGTTGTTCGGATGGAGCTCGATCGCAATGGCCTCCATGATGATGCGATCCAGATAACGGCCATTGAGATCGAGGTCCATCCAAACAACATGCACAAGGAAACAGGGTTTTATCTCAACAAATCATGGAAACCTCTCATCTCTTCCCTCAAGAGAACTCCACAAAGCCACCCCAGTTCTTCTTCATGTCACTGACGTCAGTAGCTTGTCCCCAGTTCATGTCATTGACGTCAATAGCCTGTCCCCAGCCAACCGGTTCTTCTTGTTTAACCGCCACCTCCGTGCCATTGACCTCCAAGTTGCCTAGATTCACTGGCCGGTACCCCCCCTTTCGCCCCCAGACCATATATGGCCTTAATCGCTGTTCACTCTTCCCACTGGTCCCCTCTCCCAAACCCTCCCTGCCTACTTCATATATAAACTAGCGCTTTTCACTTCCCAATCATTGCAGCTACTGCTCTCTGTATTCGCAACGCAATTCAACTGCCCTGAAGATGGAGGCGATATGTTCCTCCGAAACGTCGGTTAAAACCAAGAATACACGGCGCCAGATCCCAGAAGACGACTTTCTTCATAGTCATCGCCGTGAGAACCTCAAAACTTACACATATTTTCTTAATTTCATAATTTACAAAGTTTCCATTTTACATCACTGTGAAGTTTTAGATGTTTCTGTTCCAAATTTAAAAATGTAACAATATAATTATGTTCTTAAAATGTCTAAACTGTGGTTTATGAACCATTTTCAGTATGGCACAAATTAACTTAATGATACAATCATTGCGTAAAAAAATATTAAAATTCAGGTCAAGGGTAATCAGAATTGCTTAAAATTAATGTAAATCTCCGTGGGGGGAAAAAAATTTTTTTTTTACATAACTTTGATGAAATAACATTCACCATGAGTAAAAATTTACAAGCTCTTTTGAAAATTATGTGTATGTCACCAGAAAACATAAATACAATTGGCAGGGGCCCAATGTACTCTAAATCTGAAATAATGGTTGGAAGAAGAGTTCCCCACACATGACATACTTACATGAGAAAACAAATTTTAAGCACACAAATGCAAGTATACAATATACAGCTGAAATGAAACATCAGATTTCACCATGCCTTTCCAGCTAATATTTAACTACTTGGATTTGATCAGGTTTTACTGTTTGTTGCAAAAGACAAGAGGCCAATGAAATATATGCAACAAATGCTATAATGTTCGAAGCTGATAAAACAAATTTAAAAAAAAAATGCACATTTTTCTATGTTTCTAAACAGATTTTCTAGAATTACAAGCATAATTAAGTCACTCTATTCACACAATTAACAGTTCTTGTCCTTCTGTCCATCATGTTCTGTATCTAAGAAACTAATAATGTAGCAGGTGATGTAAATGTCAAAGATTTTTGTTTTATGGAAGAAAAGTTGCCAAATTTGTGTTTCCATTATATACATGGGTCAGAGTCCATGTTACTCTCACTTCAGAAATTCAGATGGTTTCCTGTTGGTATAACTGATGATATGAAACTAGTAAGCATGAAGTGGATTGTATTTTAGAGGTATGATAGTCATACTTAGTTTCACAAAACTAGCATGAAGATCCATCAACTGGCTGAAAAGTTGTTATGGCTTATAGACACATGGACATGATATCTTTAGCTTACAGGCCTAGCTTCTTACAAAATCAGAAATTCAGGATATAAACTGAAACAGAACAGGCAACTTACAGCCAATCAAAAAATTCTGTTAGTGCATGGCATAACATATAATATAGGTTACATTATTTGAGTAAGTTAACCTGACTGCATGTACATCTCAACAGACATGTGTGACTGTAACTCTCCCAAGTAGTTTTCAATCTCAATTTTGGAGCCATGCTGTAAAATATACTGTGATCCAATGCTAACAGACTCACAATGGACCACACAGTAATTACACATCCTGTCTCTTGCAACATACAAATATAATAACATGTTAACTGTGATAAACTGAAAGACACATACACATACCTGCAGTGGTGTTCGTTAGACCAGATAAGGCTGCAACACAAAACAAACAAGAAACAATGATGACTGTTATTATGACAGGAGGAATGTTAGTAAAACCTGTTGCTGAATGTACAAGCAAGAGGAATTTACAGTAACACACAAAATGGTAATAAAAGCACATGGATACATAAACAAACACAAAGTCTTGATGCATAAAGACATTTTCATTACATCTCAATGTCCAAAGATATGAAGAAATGACACACTTCGAAATAATATGAACAAGAAAAACAAAAGAATTATTACAGTACACATGTTTAAAAAAAAATCTTCTGACAAAATTAAGCAATTATGGATGCTATGTATAATCCTTTCAGTGAAGTAATTAATGAACCAACCAAATATATCACTGGTGCCACATCTTCCCCAAAGAGCTAACAGTTGTTCATATATTAAAAAAAATCCATGTTGTTATAGAATGCAAATGTTCATCACCATACCACAAGGCCATTCTGGACCTTAACATGTGCCAGTTCAACTGAGACTGTACACTTACAACATACAGCTCAATATTATCTTCCTACCTTCACCCTTAGATTCCAAATTATCAGTTTCCATCATGATTTGAAATAAAGTTTTGTATGCATAGACCTGCTTTGTTTTCCAATCTACAATATTTCCAACCCAATTTAATTTTTTTCTTATTTAATTATTCTAACAACCTGATAATAATTACAAACTACAAAGCTCATGATACCTGTCCCTTTACAAAAGCATGTACATCCTATCAACTTTATCAGTGTCTTTAAAATTTCTGGAATAACGGGGAACTAATATGTGGTATTAATCTGACTCTAAGAAATGGGATATTGCCATGAAACTTGAAATGGATGGGAACAAGTTACCCACATTGCAAATCACAACATTATTTGCAGAGGGTGAAAGTTATGCAGGTAACAAAACGCTACACAGTGCAACTATGTGTAAGTTTTCATTCATCAGACTAGTACAAAATGTAACTGACAGAATAAGTTTAACTTGACAGACAGTAAAAGAGAATATGCTTTAATTTACGGGAAACCTAACTAAAGCTTTTATTACGTGCAATCATAACCTTGCAATGTGAGTATTAAGTTCTCCCAGTCCATCATCCACATGAGACTGTGAAACATTTTACAGAGAAAGACACAGTGGACAAGTATTGGATTGTATGGAGAAAAAGTGATTTGAAGGGCCATATAAGTAAGAAGTGGAGTACTCAAAGTGGATAAAAGGTCCCTAGGATAGCAAATGTCTTCATCCACACAACATACAGTATGCTGTACCTGCAGTGCAAGAATAACTGGCTTCCATTATTTACTAAGGGAGAAGATATCTTCCCTGCTCATTTTGTTGGAACAAAGCTCAATATAAATTCCTTTCCTGGCAATATGGCCAATGTGTCCCAACATGCACATACTCTATAAACTTTGTTACAGTTCTGTAGCAATTAATGGGCATAATACAGCCTAAGATCTATAAACTCATTAATCTATTTGTAGAAAAGAACAGCTTATTTGAGAATGACAGTAACGAATCAAAATTTGATTCAAGAGGTAATTAAGAGGAGATCGATTGAATTCAAGCAATGCTTGCTACCATTTGGTCCAGAACCTTTTGTCTTCTCACCTGCTGTCTAAAAACGCAAAAATTATAATATACAGAACTATAATTTTGCCTGTGGTTCTGTATGGGTGTGAAGCTTGGTCTCTGACATTAAGGGAGGAACCCAGATTGAGGGTGTTTGAGAAAACTGCAAATGAGGAACTTCAAAACTTGTACTCTTCACCAAGTACAATCAGAATGATCAAGTTAAGAAGGATGAGAAGGGCTTGTCATGTAGCATGAATGGAGGGAAAAGAGGAATTCATATAAGATTCTGGTGGAAAAACCAGATGCAAATAAACCACTAAATGCTCAAGACCTAGGTGGGAGAATCTTAGAAAGATGGGATGGGGTGGTATGGACTGGACTGATCTGGCTCAGGATAGGGACCAGTGGAGTGCTCTTGTGAACATGGTAACTAACTTTTGGGCTCCATAAACTGTTGGGACATTCTTAAGTAGCTGTAAAACTGGCAGCTTTTCAAGGATTCAGCTCCATGGAGTTTAGTTAGTTAGCAATTAATATAACTGAAGTCCAAAATAATGGGACAGTAATTCTACTGAGTGTTCATTGTGTAGGTTTATTAGACATTCATGGAGCTTCTCTGTATGTTGTCACGGCATACAGTGAGGGAGTGGCTGGCAAACTAAAGGTCATTCATTGGGTGATCACCTGATCAGTGAGTCAGTCAGTGTCACTTAATGTTGTCAGTGTTATGCCATAAAGTGTTATAGAAGCTTCTTTCTATAGTGCTCTGTTCTCTCTTTATGGCTCGTGTGAGATACAATTTAGAACAAGGAGTTTTCACGTATGATTCTTATGTGAGGAAACTCATACAAATAGTGCAGGAGAAATGTTCACTGTAAACTTCCTGACATAACAGAGCCATCTTGACACACAATTTCCAAATTAGTGAAGAAAGTTTGAAGCCAAGGCATTTTAATTACCAGAAATCCGTTAAAAAGAAATTGTGTTTTAACTGAGGAAAAACTTGATGACATCGGTCATCAATTAGAAAATTCTCCTTGAAAATCTTTGTGGTGATTAGCACAACAAAGTGGTGTTTCTGTAGGCAGTGACGTTTTGAACATTTTCTATGATGGTGCAACAGTAATTATTAGATTTCATTAATAATTAACAAAAGAAGTAAACAATGTGTACTAGCAGTTCTGGCTGTGTTGCAGCATTTTTCTCCACAAGTGGCACGGCGCCTTTGCAGGAAGTTGACGAGGGTAATATCAATGTCCAGTCAGCCTGCGCTCTGAATATGGTGTATATTACTTATTTTTAATAAAAACTTATTCAATAAAAGCCAAAAATATTCAATTTGTTCATGAAATGAAAGCATAAGGCTTGTAATGAGTATAAGTTCAGTAGCACTGCCAATGAATTAATCTAAAAGCCTCCAAGAAAATAATGCAAAGTCTACAGCCATGTTACACCTTACAATAATTGAAAAGAAAGGTGTATCATTATGCAGAGGGTTCTGTGCTATTTACAGACATAATGAAATTTCTTAATTTCAAATGTAAACACACAACACATTAGAATCCAGTGCATCATTTAGATAGAAATAACTTCACAAGGATAGAAAAATTTGAAAGAGATTTTAACTAAAAAAGAAATAATACACATAAACTATGTGTGTGCGTGTGTGTGTGTGTGTGTGTGTGTGTGTGGGGGGGGAAATTTGCTCCTACACAGCAGCTAAGGAATTTCATTGCATGCTCCCTCGTAGCAGTTCACTGTTTAAGTTAAATCTTGATAAAAACAGGTGCCAATTCATAACCATCATCAGTACCCAGCAAACATCTCGGCAAAACTACAGTCTGGCTTTGTAGTTCTAAACACATGCCCTATACATAAAAACATACAAACTCCGTGGTTTTAGTCCACAAGCGAACTGTACCGACTGAACCACCGCTGCTGGTCAGCGAAGTTAGTGCCAACTTCAGTGGATAAAGGGTGTTGCACGGTCAGTGCAACGAATTCCCAGGGTCGTTAATTTCGGTTTTCTAGACCGGAGCCGCTGAAATAGCTCCTCAATTATCCTCACGAGGCTGAGTGGACCCCATTCCAGACCTACTTCTTCTCAGAAAATCTGGTAGCACCGGGAATCGAACCTGGTCCTCTGGATCTGTATCCAAGAACTCTGACCACTAGACCATAGAGGCCCTATACATATGTAAAGTAAAACTCATCCTCTTTCCTCCTGGCAGACAATATATGCTGGCGATTAGAACTATCTAAAAATTACAAATTACTGCAGTATCACATTTTATGTAAAATGAGCCATAGACTGTCATGTAAAAACAAAATAAGAGTACATTTTAATACCAAATTTGTATCAGTGAAGAAGATAAATGAAATCTAAGAATCTGTTTTTAAAATAAACATGCTTACCCATACCGAACCTCATGCTTTGAAATGGACTCTCTGAAGTATTACAAAGCACTTATCATTACATACTCCTTCAGCTTACAATAGGGACATGACCAAGTTTCAGACATTTTATACCAATGTATCAGTCACATCTACTAATTCCTCAACCCATTCTGGATATTGGTGAAATGTGACATGGGTATCACAGCAAAAATATATTACTAAATATGGATTTGGACTACACCCTCTTTGATGTTCCAAAATTAACTTTACATTTATATTGTTAAATATATGAAAATGTTTTGGGCAAAATTTCTGACATCAAAATATTGAGAACAGATTTTTTGTTCCAAGGAGAAAAGAGTACCATAAAAAATGCAAACCCTAACATAATCCAAAAATAAGTAATCAGTGCCAGCTGCATACTGAGATTGAAATTCAACCATAGGAACAGTAAATGTTTTAAACAATGGCTTCTATTCAAATGGAAATCCCTACTAATTAAATACAGAAAATGAAATGCACATATGCTGTACTAAATGTGTTCACCACATAAAAGCTCTTATCAAATCTTTTTGTATGACAGATCATTTATATTTTAGATCATCAGTGAAATTTTATTTCATGGCAAGGAATACTTAAAGAGAAAGTATGTATGCATGTCTTCAATCCTGTTTGTAGCAATCTCTGAACAGAAATGTTCAATGTTTTTGAAAAGCTGGAAGAACATTCATGCTGATGTTAAGTGTTTTGACTTACTTACAATTAACATGAGAGTTCAGGATACACATGGAACTCATGGAAATGAATGTCTGGACTTCTTGATTAGCCAAGCTATTCAAGAGGTCATCAAGAATGATTCTGTATGTAACTAATGTGAATATTGGTGTAAGATGATGAACAGTTTCACTGAACAAGTGTCTTCAACACTAAGTTGAATAAAAAAAAAATGTATTATTTAAATACCTGATGATAGAATTCTCCCACTTTGTGTGCCTGACATATCTCTGAAATCTTAATAATCTACTTACATAGGTGTAACACCTGTAATATTGTATTTCCATATGAGCATAACATTAACTATGTCCTTGTTAATTTCTGTACCAAATTTAATTTCTTTGAGAGTTCATGACAAAACGTTATAGAAATGTGCCTATCAGCATTGCCATGTCTGTCTGTCAATCAGTCTGTCTGTCTTCCTGCCTGTCCACATGTAGTAACTCTTGAATCAATCAAAGAGCTCTCATGAAATTTGACATTACAGAGTTGTTCTGAAATCTGTCAATTCACTTTAGTTTTGGTTAGAAATGCACAAGAGTAAATGGCACTTAACTTGAAGACCTATACACATTTCTATTCATTCTTGTGGTTAACGTGATAAATACTTATAGAAGCATAAAATGCTTCAAACAAAACTTGCAGAAAAAGTGAAACACACATTTTTTGCCAATTCTCTTTTACCATAAGTCTTATGGTTTTTGAGGTAATGAAACAAAGTGGAGTAAATGCACCAGAATTATTATTCTATGCATAAACATTCTAACTGTATTGTATTGTATTGTTATAACCTACTTCCCCTACTGCAAACTACAGTGAAGCTTTAACATGAATTGAACTGGCAAAAGCCTCAATCTGAAATGTATAATATGTAGCCTTCTTTTCATCACTACACAAATTCTAAGAGAATGTGCCATAAAATAAAATACCTGTAGACATGCATGAAACATTTAATTTTCTTTGTATAGAACTAAATTTAAAATGCAAACCAGAACAAGTTAAAATATGAAATCCTATATTTTAAAGTTACAGTTATTAGTTTATTTGTATATACAGAACTTGAAAAATTATGCCAAGTCATGCTCACCAAACTAAAAATGCATATTCCTTGAAAACGATACCTTGCAGTGACAGGAGTAGTCCTAACTTGTAGCAGTATCATAAGAATGAGGAAAATATGTATGTATATACATGATCCATGGGATATCTGTGTGAAATTAACTTTCCATAACAACAATCAATAAAACCAATACTTAATAGCATTAACTACCTTCAAAGTGTCACGATCTGTCTCTACATATGTATTTAAACCATTTCAACTTTTACAAGAATGGAGACTTTCATGGAAACTGAAGTCTTAAGAGCAAAACAATTTTATCATTTTAACCTCTTTCTTGCCACTCTATAGAGTTGACATAGGGGAAATAGTGAAAAGATGTTAATATCAACTAAACTGTGAGTGAAACTGAAATAAAGCTCACCAACATAAGTGGTTAATATGAATTTATGTTCACCATATCACTAAATTTGGTGAGTAGACCCTATATTCTTCAACCCTTTCATGTGCATGCATCTGTCTGTCTGAAAACTTTGCCTTGGGTGGAGTCCCAGCACTACATCAATCTCATGTTTAAGTGACTGGGGATCTGTACCATAACCACAAAAACAAGTGAATACTGAAATATTAACAAGTTGCACTACACATTTCTAGCTGAAATTTTTAATGTAAAGAGCACTAAGTACAGCCAGAAAACAATGCAACATGATTACAAAATTAAATTTCAGCTAAACAAATCACCTGATGCTACAGGAATTATGAATGCTGGCAAACGTACTAGACTGTAAGCCTCAAGATGTGTATGCCATACATCTACTGATTCAATTCCTATAACTGAATTGTAATGAGCAATCTGTTTAAACACTCAACCGAAAACACAGCACTAAAATTTTAGCAAATTAACAAAGACACATAGACAGATAAACAAAGGAACATAGAAGAAAATCAAATATTGTGTAAGATGTATTAGTGCTGAATTAGCAGAGCAAATCATTAGCAAGCAAATTCCAAAGAAATCCCAAACAAGAGTTATGCTGAACAAAAGATAAAACATAGTTAAAAGATAGTAAAATTTAGTGCAGAACAATTGTTTTGAAAAAGGAAAACTAGACCAACCTGGACTACTTAACCCAGATGCACTGGATCCTACAACAGGGAAAAAAAATCAGTCAGTCAACAATTTAGAATTTTAAATGAGAACAACTTCCCCCCATGAATAAGGGTTTTCAGTTGAATTAGATAGTCAGTAAGTATTACAAACTGAAAAAGTATGGTGCATCCCTGAAATGAACAATACAATCACGAAATCTACCATATGGCAATGTCTCTCAATCCTAGGCATTCACTGTGAAGAACAAGTTCAATCTAATCAGTACAATAACGTGAACAGAACTAAATTTTATTTTAAGTTAAAACTAAAAATAAATCTTATCAAATGACGTTACTACGGAGATGATAGACATGGCTGAAAATCAAATGCACACTGAAACACAAAGATAGAAAACTATTTTTCCGCATATTTACATATCACCCTAATTCTCAATCCCTATAATCGTCTTTCTTCACACAAAACAGCACCAGAATGGCTAGACTTTCAATGCAAGTACAGCCAAATGTACAATTCAGCATGGTATTAAAAAAAACTGAGTGTCATTTACAGACTATAGCTGCCTGCTGTCTAGGTGTACAGAATACCATGTAAATCAAGGAGACATAAACTAGACAGCATAGCAAAAGCAGGGTTTGATGAATTCGACACAACACCTGTCATGGGTACTACATATTATAGTTGTGAAATCCTCAAAACCAACAAGTTTTAAAATAATCCTGTACAAGATAAATATCCATGTATTGCTTATTCTAGATCCTGCTCTCTCATGTAGTTAAATATGCCCAGAACTGGATCTTAAAACAAATTAAAGCAAAAGAAACTCACATAAGATGATACTTGTTCCATACAAATGTGTCAAAGGACTCATGCTAAGCAAGCAAAAGTTAAATTAGGCCTTCAAACTGTACTAAAATGGATGAGACACATGACAGTACTAGTTATATGTGAGTGATAAACAAGTTCAGGCTTTCATGGCAGTTAAATGCTCATGTGGATTGATGGCACTGTAAAAAAGTGGAGTGAACTGCTGATATATTGGACATGCTTGGCATTTTCATCTTCTGGGCCATATAAATGTTGGCAAGACAGCCCACTTCTACAGAGAGCCCACAGCTTGGAAAGGAAACACTATCAAACAGAAGTTCATTTATATCCTTCAGTAAAGTGATCCTTAAAATTAAATAAGGTAAAGCTGAAGGAATCAGCTTCGGAAGTGGCAATGGCTGGAAGATGGGATTACATTTAGTCCAAAGATTAAATGTGACGGTGACCATGTTCACAACATAATACAGAATGCAAATAGTGGAGGAATTTCCCAAGTTTACACGGGAACAATGAGATGCACAGCGTTTGTAGCTATGCTTATTGTGTCTTCCAACCTGCATATGAAGCATGTGAAATTAGGCCCTGAAAGTTTCACAGAAATACAGATGACATCACCAAACCTGCAACTGTTCTGACAGTAATAAAGATCTGGTCTTAAGCCCCAGATGGGTGCTCTATTCTAAGACAGACTGGCTGGCTGACTGACCACTGGTCATAACATAACTTTGACTTTAACATAGTTAGTTCAAGGGCAGTTACGAGTCAGTCACAGCTGGAGCAGTGAGTCCAGAAGATTTTTTCCAATGTTTCAGAGTGACTGAAGACAAAACAGCAAGAATACTTCATACTGATCTGAAGTGCTACTTTGTGTGTTGAGATCCATTGCTAGGTGCCATGAGATGACTAGTGAAGAGAGACAATCCTACTGCGTGTGCAACGGTGAACTGGAAATTGCATAAATGAGTGATAGTGCTGTATTTAACCATAATTAAGAGAACTTGTAACCAAGGTGCTAATAAATTCAATAATCTGATCTAGAGTCCGTTATTTTCATCATGGGTACCCCCTACACATGACAATATAAAATGTTTCTAAGTTTTAGCAAATTATAAAAGAGAAATTATGTAACAGAAATCCCACTATAATGAATCACCTGTACTGGGGCTGAATATTACCCAGTGAACATCAGAATTTAAATTAAATTAAAACAATTCATAAATGTAAATATTTTAAAATTCTGTAAAAACTGTGTGAAGTAAAATGGCTTAAATACAGTTTCTGTAACAATGCTTCTAGTTGTAACATTCAGTGAGATCAACCAATAGCAATTCAGTTTACATGTTTTAAAAAGTTCTTGGTAACTTCAGCCTCTTCACATGAGACCATTAAACATGACTTCTTGAACTACAATAACGATTAGAGTGAAAACTGTAAATTTAGTAACCCTTGAGATCCATCGTTTTCACAGCAGTGATGATTCATCTTGTAATCTTGTGGGTTATAAACTGCATAGTCTACAGCAGCTGTGTCAAACATGCAGCCCCCACAGCCACAAAGTGCAGCCCCTCAACTTTTAGAGCTAATTGATATTAAAATCAATATTAAAATTGTAGTAGAAATATTTTTTGTAAAGACAAGAAGTCTCACGCAGACATAAATTAGCAGGCTGCAAGAAAAGTGATTCTGAGAATTGCAGAAGGGTTTGACAAACTAACGGTTTGTAAAGTTCGTGAAGGACAACCTATTGTATTTCAGAATGTTAATGCACTAAAATCCGCACAGCCTCACCACCCCAAGTATTTCCTAGAATCCCTTTTGGAGGCGTAGTAAGAATGCAAGGAGGGTGGCAACTGGCAGACAAGTGCAAGGGATTTCTACCTTCAAAACTAGCTTGCAACCCCCAGCCATTGTCTAATGGGCTGCTAGCAAACTTTCACTTTTATGACCACTGAGACAAGATACACCTTCCTACTAGTCCGGTAGTCTCTTCTATATTGTCATTCAGTTTATTTTCACACAGTGACAGGTGCTGATGTTGTATTGTGATGAACATATAGAGGTTATAATTAAACATTAAATTATCAACTATGAGTTTTCTTGTATATGTACAGTAACTTTTAAAGGGCAATGTAGTTTTAAAAAATTGAAGTAGCAAAAAAAAAAAAAAAACTATTGAAAGTGAGCGCCATGTATTTGAAGAAAAATGGAAAATCACTTATTTCTGTTGTGAAATAGAAGGTAAACTTACATGTTTGATTTGTGGGCAAAATATAAGTGTTCCACTTTAGGTAATTATACTGAAATTATTCCTAAATAACAAATAAAATTAAATTTCCTTGTATCAAAATCTAATGTATATTTCTATTTTGAAGTGCGGCCCTGGACTATTATTTGTAGGGCTGAGGTGTCCCTCTGTACAAGTTGAGTTTGACATGCCTGGTCTACAGACTACCAGACTCCACAGTGTTATAACCCAGAAAACCATAATATTTGTCATACCTGCAGGTTGGCCACTTTCTTATGAAGCATTAAAATCCCATTCATTTACAATGATCAATTATGATCATCTTGGCCAACAACCCGTACTGTCACTTCCATTTTGCAACTCATTCTAGTGTTCTGCATGTATTCTAACATTTCCATCTAGGTTACTTGGCAAGCACATAAACTCCAAGCAACTGAAAATTTACTGTTTTTAAAATATTATTCAAAAACAAATGTGTGGTGTGCATATATTGACCCATACATGCAGTAGATCTCCCAGCCACCATTAGAAGGGCTACCCATAATCCTCCCTAACACAGGTGTTACTACAATAGAGGCTGTTCAATCTATGTTCACATTTCAACATAAATGACTGAAATCCTCCATTCATCAACCGACTATTTCACTTACAAAGATTCATACACAAGAACTGAAGTGAAAACATGTTGTTTTGACCTTGTATTTGGCACTGAAAGAGTACCTTCTTAACAAAATGGCTGATTCACATAACTGGCACATCCTATTCCTCATACATGCTAGATAATGATTTTAATGTAAGTGGTGTACTGGGGGTTTTGCTCTTCCTAATAAGGAATATTTGCATATTCTGGGCACTCTTATCATCTAGAAGTATGTTTGCTAGAACTTTCGTGCTAGGTTTTAGACATGTTTAAACATGCAATGGACTGAAAGATGTGTGAATTTCAACTTTTGACAAGTTTGCTGGCATATTCCAACAGGTTCTGATGATGGTGTATAACACTCAGGATTACCGGTGCCTGGACTTTGTCCATTGCCTGGTATTGTCAAAAACACAAAAGAACACAACATTTCAGATACTGGATCTGTTTACATGCTCATGTGAGGGACGGGAGACACCGACACTGTTGGGTCAGTTAGAAAACGCTAACAGTTGCCCAGTGATTGAAGTTAGCGCTTTCTAATGTACCCAACAGAGCAGGTGTCTCTCACCTCTCACTTGATGATGGAAACAGATCCAGTTTCTAGTTGCCCAGTGATTGAAGTTAGCACTTTCTAATGTACCCAACAGAGCAGGTGTCTCTCACCTCTCACTTGATGATGGAAACAGATCCAGTTTCTAGTTGCCCAGTGATTGAAGTTAGCACTTTCTAATGTACCCAACAGAGCAGGTGTCTCTCACCTCTCACTTGATGATGGAAACAGATCCAGTTTCTAAAACATTATGTTCTTTTGTGTTTTTCAGAACACCAGATGATGGTCAAAGTCCATAAACCCAGTAATACTGAGCAAAGCTTGTTGGTATATAGCAATCATGTATCAGTATGCATAACACCCCCCCCCCCCCAAAAAAAACCCTGGATTTTCAAAAAACATTTCAGCCACATCCCCTTTCTACACATCTGTGATCCCATATCAACAGGGAACAGAAATTTTGTTTTCTAAAAAGTGCTCAACTTGGCAAGTGGCCAACTGACCACCATTCTCCACTTCAAATGCACTGTGCAATATAAAAGAAAGCATAAAAATTTTAAGTAGTTTGTTAATGAAACCTTATAATGTGATTGCTAGAAACAACATTATATGAACAAAATATTCACCATAATAAGCAAGTAAGATGAGATTTTAATATTTGTTCTGCATGCTAACTGGGGCACATGGCAGTGCAGTTGGTTGAGGCACTATGCCACAAGCCAGAAGGTCGCAGGTTTGAATTCCTATGAGTTCACTGAACTTTTGAATTGGGCCAATCACTCCAGCCACACTATGGCCCTGAGGTCAACTGAGCCTCTTACAGAAATGAGTACCAGGAATCTTTCTGGACAGTAAAGGGCAGCCAACATGTAAGGCTGACTTGCATCTGTTAGCAGACTTCACAGAAAATGTGGGAGCCTTGATGTCCCAAAACCTTATGGGCCTCCACAGCCTGTTACAGGGATAGATTTGCCTTTTTTGTATGTTAACTCCCATATCAACATTAGTCAAATTTAAACTGAACAAGGATAGCCAACATGGAATAATTTTACTGTAGTACATATCAGTACAGTTTTGCGCCATCATCTCTGTGATAAGTTGTTATTCCAAAGCCGAACACGAACCTGAAGCAACGCAATAACTTATGAACCAAACAAAATGCAGTCATCCACCTCAGAAACAAAACTGTATTGTAAATGCAGCAACACTTAAGTGTACAGTATATATGAGATCCTTTGTGTATTTAAAAATGCTTCTGAAACTGCCTACGTTCTATGGCATTTGTTAATGGGATGATTATGAATGATGAATTGGAAATGATGGGAAAGGGAGTTGTCTTAGTCCATTTTAAAGTAATTCCTCAACATTTGCCTGAAGAGCCTTAAGAAATCTATGATGTCAGGATGGCAAACCTCAGTCAACATTTGAAACCAGGACCCTCGCACTTATTAGGCACTTCCTTTTCTTATAATCAATTTTATGGACATTTATTGTACCCAACTTCTCATTTAATTAAACAAATTATAGATTAAATAAAGAATATAAAAGCCATGCATAAATAGTAAACTCTGTAACAAAACAACTTCCCGATACATTGCAATTACTGAAAGGTTTCTTGTAAGGGCTAAAGGGGTTGTGATGTGTGTCTACATGGATATTCAATGCTTGACAGAGAAGTTATTAACACACTTACCAGTAGGTGATACTTGAAGATTGGCTCCATTACCCCCTGTCATGGCTGCTAGCGTGACTAGGTTTTGCATGCTCATGGGGTTAATAGCTGCAACAATAAAAAATAAAAACATTTTAACAGTCTGAAAAAGTAACATTTCAAAATGATACAAGGTGTGGCAATAAAGAAACCGGATTCATGCTCTAACCCTTTATTAAAAAAAATCAGACAGTCGAAATGTTATCCCCTTCAATGTAGTCCCCTCCCCGATCCCTACACCGCTCCATGCGAATTTTCCACTGTTGGAAGCAGTGCTGCAGGTCATCTTGTGTTATGCTCTTCAAGAGTTGCGTCGCTTTTGCTTTCACTGCATCCACGGACTCGAACCTGGTCCCTTTCAGCGCAGACTTGATTTTTGGGAAGAGAAAAAAGTCGCAC